CCCCCACCCTCCCCACACCCCCTCCTTCGCCCCCACCTCCTTGCCCACGTGCGCCGTTGCCCCGACGAAGAGGGGGCCGTTCCTCAGACGGCGGTGGCCTGGAGCCGCCAGTCCATGAGGCTTGAGGGATGCTCGGCGGGCCATCACATGTGCCCACTGTTTTGTCAGACACGTGAGACAGGTGCGGCCTCAGGTGGGGATGAGGAGGGACGGAGGGGGAGGGCTTCTGAGGTAGACTCGGGAGAATCAAAATCATTTGAATGCGAGATTTGGATATGTCTGTTTGAGCGGTGCATTTGGGAAACGACGTTTATGCACCCACGCGGCCTGCAAGCATATGGAAATCAGGGGGATCGAGTTCTCGTGTGACGAGACATATATGGAGGTGCCGGTGGTAGTGGGTAGAAACGAACGATTGTTGTATCCAGAGAGAGTGGTGACTTGCGGAGAGAGGGCCTGCGCGGGCTGCCGCACTAGTACAGACCTCCGATACCCCCGGCGTGGCAGAGTCCGCTTGCGCGGCGTGTGGAGAGGAACAGGAAGGCGCGGGAAAGCTGTGTCATAGGATGCTGTCCTCGCCGATGGACGCAATGAGGCCGCCCCAGCGCTTGCCAGGCTCAGCCTTGCCGATGGAGATGGAGATCTCCGGGAGCATCCCCGTACCGTCCTCAGCAGAGAAGGTCAGGGTGTCGGGGACACAAGCGCCGCGCAGGACGCACGACCAGACCACGCGACCGAAGGCGGTGATCGTCGCGGTCGCGGACGTCACTTCAACGCCCATGGCAGCGGCCGGCTGCCCTCGAAGGCCGGGGATCGACAGTCTCGCCTCGATCCGCTCGGCAGTCTCCTCCCATCTGCACCCGCTGTCGTCGCTCCCTGGCAAACGCGAGGTGCTCTCGCAACCGCTCGTCGCGATGCTGCTCCCACCCGCCAGGTCGGGCAGTGGCGTCTCCAGGTCGTCCATCGTGAGACCGAGATCCGACACATCGAGCGGCCCGGATAGTAGTGGTCGATGGCCGCGGCTGCAGGGCGGAAGGCGGAAGGAGCCCACGCGAGGCTGCAGCGGCACGACGAGCGCGCCGCACGACGACGCGAGGGCGAGGAGGGCTGCCAGAAGGGGATGCATGTGTGTACGCATGTGGACGTTCGTACGAGGGCCAGGCGCTGCGAGGGCCAGGCGCTGCGAGGGCCAGGCGCTGCGAGGGCCAGGCGCTGCGAGGGCCAGGCGCTGCGAGGGCCAGGCGCTGCGAGGGCCAGGCGATGCGAGCGCAAGCTCGAGAGCTCACACCGATTTCTTTCTCTTGGCTATCACTTGTAGTGAGGTTCTCGAGGTTCTCGAGGTGGATATCCTTTGGCCGCGTTGGGTAGCGAGGATTGGTGTAACCCGAGCCACGGAGGCGTGTTTTCTGACGGCCGACCGTCAGTGCACGGAGTTGCCCCTTCTCCGACTGCCCCGGCTAGTTCCCGAGTTTCGCGGGAGTGACCCCATGCGTCAAACCCGAGACCTAGCGCGGGTGGGTTGGAGGGGCCTCGGAAAGGCGCGCAAGCACGCCCTACGTCTTCCCCTCCTCCCCATCGGGCCGCATGAGCGGCCACGCCTCGCAGATTCGTTTCCGCGCCTGGGTCAGGCGCGCGGGGCATCCCCCGGGTCGCTCGACCAGCGATCCGAAGAGTGGCCGCTATGCGAAGGAAAGAGTGGGGCCCTCGACGCCTCAGTCCGGCCCTCCGAGGGGGGAAGGGAATTGCGGGGTCCCCTCGGGCGCCTCAGTTCGGCCCTCCCGAGGGGGGGAGGGGAGCAAGGGGGTGGGGGGTTCGGGGCGGTGGGGAGGGGTCTCGGGTTTCATGTGGCTAAGACTTGCCTTTCGGGGAGGGGCCTCGGGACGGCGAGCGCAGTGGCGCCCGCTCGACTTCTTCCCCTCCTCCCCCGAGGCAGCGAGTAGGCCGCGAGAGGA